GCTCAGCTTTTCTTGAAAAAGATATGGGAATTAAACATGCCCCCTCCCTGATGCTGTGGCTTAGCTTTGCTTCAAAAGACCTAGGGATTAAATATGGCCCCTCACTCCCTCAATGAGAGGAGGAATGAACTGAAATTTTAAAAACTACCAGGAAGTAAATAATTATGCTAAAAACTTGTGTTTTTGCCAGGGACTTCACAGTCTACAATCCTTGCAGGGTTCACATCAGACATGCTGTGGGCATCTCCACCCCAGCCTTCCTGTCTGGGCTGACAGGCTACAGTGGGCAAACCATTGACTGGGAGCTGGAACCTTCTGTCACCTGTAGTTCTTTGATGTACGGAATCCTGGCTTCTTGTTTACGTCACTGCTTGAAAGGAGGGATGCCCAGGAGGTTCAATGTCTTAATGGCAGCCTCACAGCTTTTTCAGAGACACTGCTCTTTAGAGCTCTCCAATCCTCCATTGTGGATCAAGGAGCTGCAGCTGAAGGGCCTGCAAGAGGCTCTTGGCACAGGTGGAGGGATTTGTACCTCCTGTAACTTTTTCTGTCAAACAACCGTTCACCTCCCAGCAAAGAGCCTGCTGACGTCGGGTGGAGCAGGCCAGGCCCAGCACACTGCTGTTCAGAAAGATTAAAGACTGCCTGGGCCCCCTGGCTGCCATCAAGCTGTGCTCGAAAGCCTTACCCTGAGAGCCTGAGGAGAGAAGGCTTCTGCTTTAGACTTAAATTCCCTTCCTAAAAAGGCTCGGCTTATGCCTGCCTCAGCATTGCTGTTAAAGAGACAGACTCCATTAAACAGCATTTGGATTAGCAGTGGTCAACGCATGGGCCCACCGAGGAGCCATGGACAAACAGGGGGAAGATGTGAATAGGAACTTTCCAGTTACACGCATGTGCACCTACACAATTTAAAAAAAATATTGTATCTAATACCACATGTGTCAAAAGATCCCTTGGTTATATACCCAGGAGACAGACACGAGAATGTTCAGAGCAGCACTGTTTGACATAGAAAAATAACTGGAAATGAGGCAAATGTCCTTTGGCAGGAAAATGACTAACCAAAGTGTGGCGTATTTACACACTCTGTTATACAGCAGTGAGAAACGAATCCATCACAGCCACTTATCGCAACATGATGAATTGAGAGAAATAATTATTTACTTCCTGGTAGTTTTTTTAAGTTCAGTTCATTCCTCCTCCCACCCAGGCAGTGAGGGGCCATGTTTAATCCCCAGGTCTTTTGAAGCAAAGCAGAGTCACAGCATCAGGGAGGGGGCATATTTAATTCCCGTATCTTTTTAAAGAAAAGCTGAGCTACATGAGAGACACGTGTTCAATTGAAAAGAGACATGTTCAAAAAGACTCCATGCAGCATGATACTCTTTTTTTATAAATTTCAAAAATGAGCAAAGCTTGTTTAGGCATGTGAATGTGTGAGATAAAACTGTTGTTGCTGTGTTTTTTAAAAAAATATATATTTTATTGATTTTTTACAGAGAGGAAAGGAAAGAGATAGAGAGTTAAAAACATCGATGAGAGAGAAATATCAATCAGCTGCCTCCTGCATACCCCCTACTGGGGATGTGCCCGCTACCAAGGTACAAACCCTTGACTGGAATCGAACCTGGGACCTTTCAGTCTGCAGGCTGATGCTCTAATCCACTGAGCCAAACCGGTTTTGGCAAAAAACTGTTGTTTTTTAAGGGAGGGGAATGATAAACACAAAACTCCTAGCTGCACTTTCCTCCGGGGAGTAAAGCAGATGAATGGGATAAAGGAGGTTCGAAAGGTCAAGGGAAACCATTGGTTATGCTCTCATTCTTGCCCTGGGTAATGGGTTTGTGTGCTTCGACTTCATCTGGTATTATAACTTAGACATATATATTTACATATATTCTGTTGTATGTAGATGTTAAAATAATAATATTAAAAAATAACCCATGTGGTCTGACTAGTTCTATATTGCTGAAATTTGAGGATCAACCAACCCATACTGGCTGATCCACAGGGATCATTTTGATTAAATACCATATTTGTCCAACTCCCTAGTGTTAGATCATGTGACTTCAGTCTATATGTAGGTTTCCTAGAAAATATTCATGTAGACACTGCAGTCTTCAATCCTAAAATTTCTCCAAAAGGAACACCGGAGGCTCATACTAGGAAACCAACAGTAGTTTAATATGCGAATTGAAGGCAAGACAACAGCCAAGGGAAATTGAAATCCACATTTATTGATGAGAAATATATACACAAAAGTTAAAACACTTAGTGAAATCTTGAATTCACAGATTATTTCCAGTATACAAAGAATATCCAGTTATTTTACACATGAAATGTTACAGTAATCAGTTCACATTGTTAGAAAACTAAAGGTGAAAACAAAGGACCTCAACTACCCAAACTGTGCTTTTCCAAAAAGGCATCTCCTAGTACCATAGATAAGAAACAACCCCAAAAATTAGTTGAAGTTTTTACCTTTTTTTCATTCATTAGTCTTTAAACACTATGTGCAATCGATACTCTATGCTAACACGACTTTAGACTAATAATGGGGATTATGAATGTGAGGGAAACAATTACTCTTATCTTTCATTCTGGACACACAAGAATCTTCAGAGAGAGAGAATCCTGCCCAAAAGCTAGCTTTCTTTCAATATGGTTTCTACCTTGAATTGGACAGGAGTTGTAGAAGCCACATTTCCAAGGGAAAATATGGCTATCTACCATCTATAGACCTTTCACTCCACTGAAAATTAATGTGTTCTGTGCCCTCAGGGGATCTCTTAGGCTTCACTCCTCTTGTGGAAAGAGGGGAGCACTCAGTGTTCCAAACTTCATGTGGCCATTCTTCTCTGAACTCGCAGAGAAGAAAGGGCTCACAGGAACCAGAGACCCCGCAGCATTACATAGAGTGATAATTACACAGAATGCGTGTTTTAGGCAACAAGTGTATCATTGCATTAGTTCATCTCATCTTCAATCACTCAAAACATGCACGCAGAGCCTATAGGTAGAGTGCGTACTCCCTTCACATATGTGGGATCTGTGCTTTATCCGTTGCCTTTCTGCAATTCCAAATCTGTGCACTGCCCATCCCTGTGCTTCTAGTGGTCTTTCTATAGACGTTTACCGCCAGGACTGTGCTTCAGTGAGGTTTGGCTTGCATGGCAGTTGGTCAGTAAATATTTTCCCTGTGTCCTGACTCAAGACACCAAGGGAGACAAGGCTCTTCTTGAGCCTTGAAGTCATGAGCATCATGATCAGCATGTGGCAATCAGAGAGGCAAGCCTTGTCATAAGGACATGATGCTAACATGCACAGAAGCAGACTCGCTTGTCTCTGCTGAGCCCAACCCACCAAGTAGAGGAGGGCTGCAAATCAATGTCCTCATTCTAAACCTAGCTAAGCGTAGACAATCAGAAGTTCCACAGTTGCTTTCGCCATGTATCAGACAGATGGCAGATGAACTTTCACTAAGAATCATGGCCCCCATCTAATTGCATCTGAATTGCATATCGACAAAGATGCTGGATGCACACAAACTTTCAAACAGTCATCGGTACAAAGGATTCACAGGTAAGTTCTTCACAGATATACACCCCCAAATCACATTGAGGGAAAGGAGAAATCATTCACCACAAGCCATCTAAGAAGGAAAAGAAGCATTTTCAAAACACCAATCAACAAGTCTACTACATTGAGTTGAACAGCCAAAATGAACATTTAAATTAAGTTAACATCTACGCACCATCTCACTGCAATTACACATAGATACCTACATTATAGCTACACAAGTGCATAGGCACTGTTCTTCATGCATGAACCAAGTGTTGCTGTGTACACACAAGAACTTCATGCTTTGACAGCTATCTGTACTTGAAAATCACAGGTACAATCGTTGCCAGTTGAGGGAACTTCTAATCTGTTTGCTTAATGAAGAGCAAGTTCAAATATATCCCAGTACACTTTCTATGTAACTGACTATCTCCGAAAATGTGGCAAAAATACTAGCCCCATATCAGAAAGTGTGTTTGACAGAAAGAAGACTCTCCTTGCCTTTGAAGTTGCTACTGGTTTGCTTTTTTGGGGGAAATTCCATAGATGGTTAGTCACCTGAGGACAGAATCTATCTGGGCTGTTTCTAAAGAATTTCAGTGCAACTTAAAGCTCCCACTTACAACCCCAATATTGCTTCATTTTTTTTTCAAGTGATGTGCTCAATTTACATAACACTTTGACACTTATTACCAGTTTGCTTGGCAAGAATGAACTGCGACAAATTTGTCCTGATTTGCTTCCTCGCACTTACCCTCAATCTCTTCTATGCAAATTTCCCCAAGCCAGTTTTTACACAAATTAGTAGGAAGGCATGGGAGATTCAGATATCGACATGATCCCGCTATGATCACCTTATTTTTCATCTTCTTGGAGAAAAGTACAATTAGAATGCTTAGCTGGCAAGACAAGGCCTGGTGTCAAAAATAAGAAACCAGCACCATCCCTTGAGTTACGAAGACTAATTGTTAAGATGCAGAGCCTAACCAGCTAAGTTAGGATGTAAGGGATCGCTTGTTCTTTATGGTTCCTTCTGTTCATTGCATCGCAAAGGACTGGGTCCTTACATTTTTAAAATGTGGCCGTATGCTCAGGAAACAACTGATAGCTCTAAATTGCTGTAGGAACTTCTTGTGCAATTGGTTATAATTGGTTATAATTCTACATATGTGGCTATATAGAAAATACCATAAGAAAATATCTTTCTGCAAAATTACAGACACTAAATAGAGGAATTCAGTCCGCACTGAGTTCTGTATGATGTATGAAGAATAGATACAAACCTAGAACACTATTAAAGGCTAAATCAATATTAAACATATAGTATTCAGCACTATAAATACACGTTCTCCTGCTCTTTATAAATAATAGCAAAGAAGCCCGGGGATTTGTTTAAAAAAAAAAAGAATGTAAGGTTGGGCTGGAGGAATCTGAGAATGTGGGATGCAATACTGATCAGAGGGCAATCTGTTGGCCCTGGTAACATAGATTCTTCTCAGGAAGCCAAAATATATCTGCTGGCAGCAAGGTCAAATGAGATTCACAGTTTGCCAGCTCTCTCCTCAAGTTGTAGAAAACAAATAGAAAAACAACATACAAAAATCCTCACAAAAGTAGGTTTTTTTTTTAATATACAAATCTCTATAGTGACCAGATTATCTGGTCTGTGCTATGCAACATGGAGATACAATGCTGAGGTTCACCAGGGGAAGGAGAATGGGTGTGTGGAAGGATCTGGATGCTGAAAGGTGAGCTCCTGGTAAGGGATAGAATGCTCCCGGAGCACTAGGCAACCAGAGGGCCAGCTTTCTGATCATACATCTCAGGGAACTCCCTCCCCGGGGAGAAACACTAGACCGACTTCCTTGGCTAGTGTGAGCATTTCTCTCCTACCAAAGGCAACAGGCTATTCGAGGCAGGCTAAGTGGTTGCCATGAGAAGAAACGGAGCCCAGAAGGAGTGAGGCTCCTACTCAATGGGGGATGATGACAAGGGCAGCAGTGAGTGTTCCAACACTCACCCAGGACCTGGGGTGTCCCCAGAGGCGGTGGGGACTTGTTGCTACTCATGCTCTGGGTCCAGTGCTGACTCTGCAAAGCAGTGGAGTCTGATCCAGCAGCAGGTTTTATTCTCAGCACAGAAGGGCCCCATATAACAGAAGGACTTTTAAAAATATCTAAATGGATACTTGGTCTGGAGGTAGGAAGGTGGAGCAAGGCTGGGCATAGCGGAAAAATGATAGGTCATTATTCAGAATATTATTTAGAAAGACTGAAATAAGAACGTGCGGCTTCTCTTACTTTTCCATAGATGCATATTTGGGTCAATTAAGAAATAGTCTTTATTGCTGCTCTTGCATCAGGTCTTCTACACTAAGAATTAAAAAGCAAACTCAATCCTTTTATTCCTGGTTTTACATCTGGTTTCCCCCAAACCTAAAGAGCGGAAGTCTGCTCTGGTGGTAAAGGTGCTCACAACACAATAAATACTAAACCCATTCCACAGTTAGCTAAAGTTTGGACAAAAAGCAAGGATGCAAGCAGTAGCCCATTGCAGCAGGAGCAAAAAGTGCAACAAAGCTGTTCAAAGGTCATGTCAGCATGCACCCTGTAGACAGACCATGTTGTCTAGCAATCCCAGAAACTCCTTGGGCACTGAAGAGGGGTGATAGCCAGCACAACTCCATTCTTGTTGGACAGAGCTTCTCTACCTACGATGTGATGCAAACCAAGAGGAGAAATGGAAAATGAACTCCCTCAAATAGCCCTGTATCTCTCTGCAGAGAAAGGTCTTGCCCAGGCTCACCTTGCGTGGGTGTGCACGTTCGCCTACAGGAGGAGAGAGAAGGTGTTTATAGACAGAGGCTGTTATTGTGCAAGTCTTGCACCAAATTTCATAAGACTGTTCAGGTCGATTTGCCAAAGGCTCCTGCATGTGACTAGGACTGTCTGGAGAGACCTGTGCTTTGGGTGTTAGAAGTGGGCCCTGTTGCTACAGCAGGAATGATGCAAGAGCTTGAGTGAGGCTATAGACATGTCCGATCCCCTCGTGGTGACTCTGGCAGCATTTTCCCTGAGCTGAATCGCCTGGGACAGTGAGTGTAAGCAAAGAGCAGTTTTACAGAATTGTGTCTGTGTCTCAAAACACCACATGGTCGATTAACATGACCATCTTCCAAGCTTGTAATCACCAAATAAAGAGAGAGGCTTCTCCCAAAGGGGAAGGGAATAATGCAAATTGATTAGTAATTATTGTGGGTCCTTCTGACTTAAAATATGAAATCATATTTTACAGTAGGAAACTTCTTAGGAAAGAAACATTAGAGCAGAGCTCATAATATCATGGATTCTTAAGGCTGAGAGGGGGTTTTAATAATTTAATCCAACCCCTTCTCTTTACATATGGGAAGGAATGAGGCTTGGGCATCAAGTGACTTGAGTAAGTTATACAGCTGACAACTGGCAGTGTAAGTCACATGTTTCCTCTACCGGACTGTGTAACTCCTCACCATCTCTGTTACTATCTGAATTAGCTGTGTTATGCTGTACAATCATATGCTATTCAATTAAGATTACATCATCTTATTCTAAAGCCAACCCTTGGTTGTTTCTAATTGTCCCTTATGCAGCAACAATGATAAGTGGAATAAGAAGAAAGGAGGAGAAAGAATAAAGAATTGTTTTTTTTTAGGGGGAAAATCATAGGCAGCTTTGAATTCACTCCATTCAGGAACAGCCTGCCTATAATGTCACCTGCTGGGCTTGGCACTCAGTAGCCTTTCTTCTAGATTTTAGCCAGAAGTTACCACAGACACAGAGACCACTAATCTCCTCTGACAACTAGAATTGCAAAACTCTCACTTCAGAATTACTTCAGGCTCTTAACTTAAGCGTAATCTTCCTAGGTCTTACTCTTTTTATTCAAGGAACAAGTTATTGCAATAACGGAAAATTCCCATTTGGCCCTTTTTATTGGCTTGGAATGAGTTCAGTTGGAGAATAAGCAAAACAAAACCAGCAAAACCGACAAGTGCATGGCCCCAAAAGTTTGAGAGCAGTGAAGTGGGAAGAGCTACTGCCTCTGCTGGGTGTAACTGCTGAGCACTTTTGCCATGGAACCAGGCAAGAGCTGCTGAGACTTGTCCAGCAAGAGTCTGAACTACAGGGAAGTCTCTCTGAGCGTGTGCGTTCCTATTTGGGTTGACTGCTGCATTCATGGGAAAAGAAGCATTGACTCTGACAAAAGTGAAATATCGTACCATAACCTTTGCTGCTGAGAACATAAGGAAGTGTGGCATTGCAAAAGCATGGCAGGGTTGGGTTTCCTTTTTGGGGACCCAGTAGATGAGTTACCCAACTCCGGAAGGGCTTCTTGACTTTCAACACACTTGAAAATGACATACTTCTCCATGCACAACTGGAAAGGACCTGACACCCTCTAATCACTCAGTGGTGCGGTTCCTGGCATTATCTATTAGGACTCTATCTCCCCGAGAACTGAATTTCCCCTAATCCTTTCTCAGCTTCCAGCCTAAACCCAGGAGCTGGGCAACTTGGCATCCTTGCTTTAGGTTTTCATAAACAACCAGCCTAACGAGTAGTTGGAGTACAGAAGTACATATCTTTTAGGAGACATGGTGACTTCCCCAGGAAATGAAACTATAGGCTATGTTCCCACACCTAATAGCAAGTAGGGAATTGAATCTGATAGCTACCTTGTTCAGATATCCTCCCAGATGTTCTGTATTGAGGATCTGTGTGACCAAGATGATTGCCCTAAAGGTCTGATGCCCTTTGCATGGGATACACAGCCTCAAAGACCTCAGATAAAGCCTCACCTTGAGAGAGAAGCCATTTTTTCTCACTGATTAGATTGGATTGGATTCACAGAATTGTAAGTAGTTGATCTAATGATGATTCCCCTTGGGTCTGCCAATGGGAAAAAATGAGATAGGGAAGGATCAAAGTCTGCTCAGTTTTCTCCTGAAACAATTCTGATTCCTAAAAAGAGTGAATGAGTCTGTGACAAAAACAACAACAAAATACAAAACAGACCTTATAGGATGTGGTGTATGCATCTGGCCTATCATATAAATATAACATTTATGCATCATCAAATATTAGTGGGTGATAAGCATTTATATCTGTGTTGGAGCTATTATATAAATCTATGTATATCACTGGCAGATCATACATATATTATTTAGAAAAGGTTGTTAGAGGTATATTCTGGATCTATTTGTTCTGTTTATGGCACATATACTAGGCAAGGAAAACCCTAATGAGCACAGTTTGAGAAGAATGAATAGGGCCTAAAAAAATCAAAGGACACAGTCATATGTCAGCTCTATCTACATCCTGGATTTATAGGCTTGTCTTGAATTTGAAAAAGTATTAATTTTTAATATAATTTGTTGAATCTAGATAAATATGATCCTACGTGTATTTTCATGGAACTATTCTATTGCATAGAGTCTCAAACCAGAAATACCTGCTTTGTTAAACTGTGCACTTACACATTTATGATCTCACTGGGTAACGAGGAAAACGCTGAAGACAAAGCAAACAGAGAAGACATCTAGGCATCGCCTTGGGAAGATAATCCTGAGATTGCTCTATCCAGAAACATGTCAGCCAGTACATGTGTGCTAAGCTGGCCTTAAGTAGCAAAACCGCAAGCTCCTACGTGCCTTGCCCATATCCTTCTCCTCACCATAAGTCCCACTTATAGACAACCCTTAACAGTTTCACAGCTGCACCCAGGAACAGTCCCCCTGACCCACAGTGTCTGCTGTAAGGGATACATTTCCCACAGCTGCATTTCAGCACATCCTGGGCCACCCTGCTCACTGTCCATCTATTGAACATGAAGATCAAGGCCATTCTTTAAAAGCAAAATCTGCTTAATACTGCGCAATAATGATCCATATCCAAAAATAACTAGGGGCTAAGAGACAAAAATAATTGAAACCTCGGGTATTTTGGATGTTCCAAAGGTGTCTGATTTGGAAGAGAAAAGTCACAAGGACTAGGTAATAAAGGGGATGTGGTGTCCATAAGCATGCTCTCTTTAGAGAATTTAGACCCTATCACAATTCATCAACATCTCACCATCCATCTGCTGGCCTCAGAAGACCACCTGCCTCTCACATGTGAACCAAAGATCTACACACTCCTTCCAATGTGCTTTATTTCTCAGTGATTCATGTTCAAGTCCTCAGCAAACTCCCAAAGCCAGAAAGTTTAGAAAAATTCTGTGGGTTATTCACTAGAAAATGATAGTAGAGACACTGACAAATGTAACCTACATAATCATTCAGGATTCGTTGGGTGTCAACAGCAGGCAAGGCACTGTGCTGCTCCTATTATATTATCCCCCCAAACTGCAACAGCCTTGAAAAGGTCCCACCTGTGTTGTTCCCATTTCATGGTTCAAGGCTGCCTTGACTTGGCCATAGGAATGGCACCTTTTAAGGACTTTGCACACATGTTATTTCCTGTTCTTTTCGTCAGAGAAAACTGGGGAGGAAGGTTGGCTTTGCTTCCAATGTGTCATGTAATTGGATTTATGTGCTTTGATACGATACAACAAAAGCTTTCTACATATTAGATAAATGACAGTTTTTTGTTTTTATCAAGAGATAGTATTAAAAGAGGCACAGGCAACACAACTGTCTTCCATGTGTAAGAAGAACACAAAGGATTAGGCCTCTGGTTTACTGAGAACATGACTGAAATAATTTAGAGATTAAAAAAAAATGTCTTTTTGGTAGAAACCCAAACGAGAATTTTATGGGTAAAACAAAGAAAGTGAAGCAGAGATGATATGATCTCACTTGATTTCATGCGGACAAGATGAATGCAAACCAAAGGCCAACAGATTTGAATATTTGAATCCGATTAACACGTATGTTGACTGTGCTCTCTTCCTTTTGTCAATATATACAGCAGTTCTATGCAAATTACACTCTAACCCATTTAATATTATCACATTTAGAGCAAATGATGCCACATACTCTGAGGATTCAATAATGCATGTCCACAGACTAGGTGAGACAGAGTGGAGGCTCACAGGGCTCCACAACCAGCTGCCTTCCACAGATCCACTCCCACGGCCATGCTCTCTGAAACACTGAGCTAAAAGAGCAGACAGAAGACATATGGTCACAGTTTCCTAAGACAAGTACTTGCTTTTATCAACACCTGCAAGACACGGAAGGAGAATTACTTCTAGAGGCTCCTAACAGATTCTCTTGTGCATAACAAGGTGAAGCATGGAGAATACTTGGAGAAGCAACACATGGTGTGTCTGTTCGTTACCCCGAGTCCCTGGAGTGTACCACACAGCTTGAGTCTCGTCCCCTGGGAAAAGAGCATCCATGGTCCTGCATCTTAAGATAAAAGGGAAGCTGGCAAGGATGTGTCTTCAATTCAAACGGTTCCTCCAGTAGCATCCATTCCGACAGTAACACACGCGAGAACATTAGACGGTTACGAAGCATTATTTGGCAAAGACACAGCACCATGCCTATCACTGACTCACAACAGGTCCTCTAAGCCTTGGCTAAATAGATTAAGTAAACATAGAAATATAGGTGTGTTTTTTTTTTCTTTTTTAAAGAAGGCTTGTTTATATCCTCTTTTACCATGAGATACACTGGGGAGTTTATTCAAGAATTTTGCTGAGAGTCACATCCTTATTTTTCACGTTTCCAAGGTTCTTCCTCAACACTGCCATCTGCTGACTTCCCGTTGGCTGCCAGAGTCACCTGAAAATAATCATCATCAACATGCAGCTTACAGGCCATGGACCAGAGAACCACCCCGTGGGTTACGTGGAGGAGCACCCAATCCGGTTTAGACCGCATGACTTGGATATCAGTTTTAAATAGTGTCCCTTCCAACCAGATTCTGAGCTGGTCTTGAGTCTCAACACTGATTTGTGAACATTAAAAAATACTTATTTGCCTTGGGGGCACTGGATCGAGGGACTGGAGACACTAGGCGACTTGGGGGATCACTTCTACTGTGCTTTTAGGGTTGTGGGGGTATCTAACTACTTATAGACCCATCACCCAGGAACGCAGTCCTTAAACCATAGTGCCCATGTGCTACTCCATACAACCACAGAGAAAAAAATCCAGAACTAGGTATCTAGCTCTACTCATGCACATGAAAGGTTCAGTTGCAAGAAGGCCAGGTGAATTTGACACATGTCCAATTTTAACACCAGAAGGCACGATGGTCTGGATAGCAAATAAGCTATGTGGGCTTTAACAAATAAAAAAATAAAAAGGGGTTATTAAATGAGCCTGAGGCCGTTTACTAATAAAATGCAATCAACAGACTGTATTTTCTTCCCCTGGCTCTGAGCAAACTGAACACTTCCACAGAACGGGAGGTTTTCCCCTCCACGTCTACATTTTTCCTAGCTTACCTTCCATCTGTCTGTCCTCAAGGTCATGTGCAAACTTAAACCCACGACTGATATTCCACATAATGGAGAGACTGGATTTATGGAAGCATTAGAACATGGAGACATGACAAACGCAGCAATGTTTGAAAGAAATCTGACCATCGTCCCCGCGTGGAAGCGAAATGCATGCGTCATGGACACACACAGCATGCTGAGAACAGAAAACCCAGTGCCCCTCACCAACCAAGCGAGTGAAAATAAAAAGGAGTCATTCCTCCAGTCCCCATGAGGCCCCCACATGCAAGCAGCCACGACCGTCTCCCGTGTAGTTACTATGATTAAAATACAAAAGCTATTGTGTCACTTTCAAACTACTGCACAAGGCGAGTGTAAACAGAGAGACCAAGGTGATGTAACGATGCTTGATGTGGTTAAAGTTTGACCAGAGCTGCAGCAAAGTGGCTTCCCCTTCAGTGAACGGTCAGGAGAGACTGCCGGGAAGGAGCAGTCTGCCTGGAGAAAGCTGCCCGTTCACTCTGACCTTGAATGTGCCTATTTGGCTTTCAGTGAGGAACCAGATCCGTAGCTGAGCAAAACTCTCAATCACAGTGTGGTGCCTTTGGAAAACCAGATAGCACAATGGGGGTGGTCGGGGTGGGGGAAAGGTATTGTTGTTGTTGTTGTTGTTTTGATGCTGGGGCCTGGGTTTGAAAAGTAGCTGGGAAAGCAGCTTTTTGGCCATTTCCCTGTCTGGCTGCAACTCCACTCCCTCATCCATTGCACCCCTTCAGCTCCAAACACCTGAGTAACAGGAAAGCAAACACAGGGAGGGAACTGCCAGTAAGCATTGACTTCTCCCATCTCAGTTTTTAAAAGAGTGAGACATGGATCAACCAGAAGGAAATTCAAAGGCATGAATCAATGTGATTCAGATATTCTGGGAAAGTGTGCTGATTCATCTCCATAGCTCTGGCTGCCTCCCACATCAGTGTCAACTGAGTTAGTTGGTCTAGAGCGAGGAGAGTCAATTTGCCTCACCTAGCAACACCTGAGGACCAAGTAACCTTCACTGAGCTGAACCCAATCTCATCACTAAAAAATCCAAACTGCCAAAATAGCCATTAAAGCAATATGGCCACTGTTTCCTTTCCATGACATGCTCAGGTTCACTACGTGACCATCTAAATCTGCCAAGATCCATTTGGATATTTATAACATCATTCACAGGCCATACAAAATTATCAACTTAAAAATTAACCTGCTAGATTTTTTTTGTGGATGAACTGCTGCTCTTCCATACTGCTGGCAGTATTGGAATAAATGCTCATATATGATTTTAAAAAATTATCCTGCTACATTTGGTCATTTAATTAACTCACCCCTAATGCCTTGGCAGTGACAAACCAAATGATTTCTCGGGCCTTGTACAGTCCACAGGCTGGACATTCCCCATCCCTAATCTAAATGCTAATTCAACAACAAATTTGCAGGTGGTTGGCTGGGTTATGGAGACTGAGTCACTATCTCTATGGAATTGTCCAGCAAAAAAAGTTTACCTGAATTAAAGTATAGGCCAAGATGCTAAAAGGCTACATTCAACAAATATTTCTAGAGCGTCTACTGCAAACTTGGCGCTGCTTTAGACGCTAGGACACAATACTGACAAATGGGGATACAGTTCCTTCCTCATGGGCTTACATCCAACTGACAGGGACAATTGACCTACATCTCCTTTTAGAACTTGAATTGTTTTGCTTAAAAAAAAAATGAAGCGAAATTTTCCTGATGTACTTGATATTCTTTAAGGAAAAAAAAATATAGGAAGTCTGAAATCTAAGAATATCTCCATGCCTACATACCTTCTTCAATACACGTCCTATACAATATTGCTAAGCCTCTTATAATGCCCCAATAAAGGTCACAGCATAGATAGTTAACCACTAGGAGTCTTCTTATACATAATTGAAAAATTAGAAAATATCTGATTTCATTTTGTTCCATGCTACTATGTTTCCTTGTATGTAATTTGAGATAAAAACTTAACCACCACTTCAAAATCATACATTCATTTTCCTGTTCTCCCATGCCTAATTCAAGGCTTTGCAGATAATGGCCACTCGATAAACACTTGATGAATGTGATAAAAATATATATGGTCATAGGAATGAGATGGGGTTACTCAACTAAACCTCACAAGGCACACAATAAATACTTATTGAATATAATGGAGCATAAAGCCATTCCTTGGGAATGTTGATCCTTGTTGACCCAAACCAACATTTTAATGGGAAATAATCCAGCACATTTATTTAGATGTATGAAATACTATTTTTTAAGGAAAATGGAGTATATTCTTTAGAATTACTAATTCTGAATTACTAATAATTTAAGTCGTTTTCTTGGAGTCAATTAATTTATCAGAATCCTGGTTCACCCACATATGGACCTGATATAGAAAGGAGGAGCAAAAGGCTATGGCTGATCCATTAGACTTCTGGACCTATATTGCAGCCCAGTAGAGAGGTTACTTCTGTGTCATCCTAAGTGGTCTGGCAGAAGCCATCATGTATATTTAGAATGATCCAAAAGTAACACATAAAAAAATCAACTATTAAGTGAGATCTCGCCAACAGGAATAAAAAAGGTATCAGAAATATTGTCGGGTTCAAATTTTCCTCAAATACTACGTGGAACCATTTTAGCAACCAAATCCCCAGAGTTGACTCTGCTCACCTGCCAGGGTTTCTCCAAGTTTGCTTCACTCTGGTCATGACACTGCCTTTGACAATGTCAAGTTAGTTACAATGAAGGCTAGAAAGAGCTTATCGAGCTTGAAGTCTTAGCACCCAATGGCTTAGGAGAGTCCAGAACATCCTTGCTTCAGGAAAGAGGGTGCTGCCAGGCAGTGTGCGAAATATAGTGGTTTTTAGAAGACATCTATGGATGATTGTCCAGAAGGATAGTTATCCTTTACTTGAAAAATTCCCCACACTTGGAGCAAAGTGACTGCCAGGTCACAACTCAGATTCCCACCAAAATAATTAACCGAAAGCAGCTGCACAGTTATGTGGGCACGCTTTTGACCAATACATGATTCATAGCAGGGAGGAAAACTTGTGCTATAAAAATACCCAAATGACTCTGGGTATTTCTCTTGATGCTTTACTTGAGGAACAGAAAAGTTGAAAGCCAGCAAAACCCTAGAGACCACAAATTCTTGGGCAAAATATTCAAGAAAAACAATCAAATTTGGTTGGGTGCGTGAATCAGAATGAGAGTTTGTACATCGTGTAGACGAGAGAAGCAACTGATTGGCTCTTTCACTGTTAGACCTGTTGATTTCCAGCCATGTTAGACACAGAGTTAGATGATCTGGGACTCACAGAAGCTTGGGTTACATGATTCTTTAGAAAAATAAATGTGACAATAATACATGCAGGGCTTTGGTGTTCATTTTAAGAAATCAAGCATGCACTATCATATACAGGTCTCAATATCCATGAATGGGAAAGGTACCTTGCACTCATCTACTACGACAGAGTTGTGTGCGGCATAGACACATTGGTTAGAGTTGCTTTCCCTATGGTTCTTCATGTCATCATAAATGGACTGAGTCTTGGTCATTTCAATGTCTTCATGCGCTCGGTGCTGGGAGTCAATGGTATCCAGCTCAGACTTGGAGAGGTGATAGACAATCCCAGCCCCAAAAGAGTCACCTACAACATTGACGGATGTTCTCATCCTATCCCTGGAGACAAAGAACAGAAAAAGTTTAGCGAGGAAGAGTTGAGAGGTCAAGGTCTAGAACCTAGGGTTGAATTCGGGCTTTACCTTTTGCTCTGCTTGGTCTCAAGCAAGTTGCTTAATCTTAATTTTCCTGTTTGTCAGGGAAGATAACAGTCATACTTCTCTCATAATATTGTGTGAAAATTAAATGAGAAAATGTACATAAAACATTTAGAAAATTGTCTGATGAAAGGTAAGCACCCAATAAACAATAGCAAAGAAAAAGGAGGAGGAGGAAGAAAAGGAGGGAAGGAATAATTAGAGGGGGGAAACGTGTCTAGATTTCAGAATTAGTGTCCAGGCTCCAGATACTTCTAGTTATATCCAGTCTTCCTCTTTCTTTCTTTCTTTCTTTCTTTCTTTCTTTCTTTCTTTCTTTCTTTCTTTCTTTCTTTCTTTCTTTCTTTCTTATCCTCACCCAAAGATATTTTCCCACTGATTTTTGAGAGAGTGGAAAAGAAAGGGAAAGACAGACAGAAACATCAATGTGAGAGAAACACATCAATTGGTTGTCTCCTACATTAATCCGACCAGGGCCCAGGCTGGGGAGGAGCCTGCAACCGAGGTAAGTGCTCTTGACTGGAATCAAACCTGGGATTCTTTGGTCTGCAGGCTGACACTATCCACTGAACCAAACTGGCTAGGGCTACACCCAGTATTCTTGATTTAAATTGTTCATAAAAGACTCCACTTCAAAGATTACTTCTACTTATTTTATTTATGAATTCTACAGAAAAGAATAACAACCCACGGATTTCAATAATAGAAAATTAATGTTTTTGAAAGGATTGAAACTAACACTGCCTTTCCCCTGCACCCCAGGGTAACACACACATATACATAGACACAACTGTTGGGCAAGAAACTCAGCCACGATTTTCTTCCTGACTAATATGTGTAGTGATTATGCATCCTGGAAAAACCAAATTGCTTTGTCTTGTTTTCTTTATTAACCTAAAATAATTAAATCTTCCCAAGTGCCACTTGAACAAGAACCTGTTAAGAAAAAAAAAACCTTCCTCAAATCTTGTTTTTTAAGTTCTTATTAAAAAAATAATAATAATAGGATGGTTGATAACTCTCTCTTTTAGAAGATCAGCAACTGGAAAACTAATTAAGTTATTAAGAATAAACTGTGTTCTCTCATCCATAAGTTCAAATGTTGATGAGACGCTCAAAATCCTATAGAGAAGAATGTTGGAAAACCACACACACACACACACACACACACACACACACACACACACACGGGAAAAGAAAGGAAGGAAGGAAGGAAGGAAGGAAGGAAGGAAGGAAGGAAGGAAGGAAGGAAGGAAGGAAGGAAGGAAGGATGATTTTCAGTAAAGATTATGGTGAGACATCTTAGTCCAGGTCAGGGAAAAAGCTGGTATTCGAATCCACGTCAGAATCCCTCCAGATTCCATGCTTTTCCTTAACTACTATCATGTATTTTTTTCTTCCTCATATCCTTATATTGGGGCTTCTTATCAATCTCTACAAGTGCCTGATTTTTTGAATGACTCCATCTTTATTCATTTTCAGGGGGAGATAGTAGCTGGGACAATGAGCTACAAAGAAGAGGAAAATAATACATGTGAAATCTAGGCGGTAAAAGTACTCAGGAGCCTTCAGGATGGCTAATGAATGCAGTGAGAGGCAAAAAGTAAGAACTGACTAAATCATGTAAGGCTTTGTCAGCCCAGTGTGGGAGTTATGACTTTATCCCAAGGATAATGAGAATCCATTGAAGAGAAAGATCACCCATGTTCTATTCTGAAGAATGGTCTGATGAAGGACAAGAAAGAGCAAAGTTCACTTAATGAAGAGGTGGTGGACCTGAAAAAGATGACTCTAAAAGAGATTTAGGAGACAGAATTATAGGATTTGAGAATTTATTGGTTACAGAGAATAAAAAAGAGTCAAGGATTCCCTCAGGGTTCTAGTTTGGGCAGCCAGTGGACATTGCCACCATATTTATGGGTCATAACTGATTGGGATGGGAAAGATTCTGGTGTCATATTGAGTGTGAGGGCCTTGATCCAGCAGAGGGGAGATGCCCCACAAATGGGTTGGAGTGTGGACTAAAGATCAAAAGGGACATGTGAGCTGCAAGTAGTAAATTAGAAGTCAACACCTAGGGCAGCCATGGGTGGATGCCAAGGCATGTTAAGTTTAATCCTTGAAGAGAATGTAGAGTGAGAAGAGCAGACAACACTTAAGGAATGTGTGAAGGAACAAAAGTCAGCAAAGGTGAAAGGAAAGTAGAAGAGTTTGGAGGAAGCTTGTTTCAAAAATAAGAGTGTGATGGACAACTACTACCTAGAGTTCAGATAACATAAGAAAAAGAAGTGTCTCTTGGTTGTAGCAACCCAGAGGTAAGTATTGACAGGCAAGGACAGAGGCAGATAGAGAAGTCAACTCCCCATAGGTGGTACATTGAACAAGAAGTGAGGAAGAGGCTACATTATAATTAACTTACTCAAGAAGATTACTGAGAAGGTGAAGAGAAGGAATGGTATATGGAGGGAAACAGAAGATAAAACAATTTTTGGTTTTGTCTTTGAGGCCACTAGGGAAATATCTGACCAACTCTGGGGAAGTCCACCTCTGGCCAAAAGCAGGATATGGGAGTTTATGGTTCACACCAGGAAAATTCCTCCACAGGCCAATACTTTCATTTTCTCTAGAAATCCACTCTGAACATGTAGGAAACCCTGCTGACCTCCCTCAGGAGCTTTTAGGCTACTTGGTAAAGAGAATTTTAGAGCATTTGACACTATCCTTGGGTCTGGATGCTGTGTCAGGACTGCAAGAAGGAGGAGAGCAGAATGTTTTATTGGATTGGATTCATGACAGATGACATAGCTTTTGGAGCCACCGGAACCAAAGCCAAGAGAGGGGCTTGAATAAGCTGCTTCATGCTGAGGCACTGGGTCTGGCTCCCTGGAAGAAAAGCCAAAGTGTCTGTCTCTCCTGTTTATCTCTTGATCTAAATCCTCTGGCAAGAAGACATGGAATTGTCTGAAAGTCCTGCTTCTCACAGGAGAACAGAGCCAGGGAAGCAAAGTCACCCAACATTCATCTGCTTCCTTCTATTGGGTTGAACCATATGAAATTGCATTTCCTTAAGTCCTATAATGTTTCATATGATTCAACTTAACATTCATACAAGCAAGCCATCGTGTCTGCCTCTAAGAAGGCAGAGTGCCCAGAGTGACAGAGGGGTCACCTGAGGCCCCAAAGCTGAGAAGGCTAGCACAATTCTGTGAATCCAAGGGCTTAAGCCACTTGACTTTGGGAAGGGAAGGAGGGCCCACAGAAGCATTGGCTGGGTGTGAATTTGGATTCGAGCCTGGATTGCCATCCTGGCTCCAGCAGGGCAAGTTACTTAGTCTTTCCCGCTCAGCTTTGTCCTTTGAAAAACAGAGAAAATAATACCCACTTCCAAGCACGTTGAGAAGAAAATAACTGCTGACATGTACTGACACTTGTCATCTGAGAGGCCCTCTGCCAAACTCTGCATCTAAAAGACCTGGCATGGTGCCTGTCATGAACACAGTGCTCAACCCTAGCCGCTCATCATCATCATCACCATCACCATCATCATCATCATTATTCCAACTAATAAGGGGAGTATCTTTTTCTCTTTTATTCCTCCACCAAGTCTTACACATTTCATATATATATGATTATATATATATGATTATATATATATATATGATTATATATATATATGATTATATATATATATATATATATGATTTTCTATAGAGAGGAAGGGAGAGGGATAGAGAGCTAGAAATATCGATGAGAGAGAAACATTGATCAGCTGCCTCCCCCCCCCCCCCCCCCCCGCCCCATACACACACAGGGGATGTGCCTGAAACCAAGGTATATGCCCTTGACCGGAATCCAATCTGGGACCCTTCAGTCTGCAGGTTGACGCTCTATCCACTGAGCCAAACTGGTTTCAACTACATTTCTTTTTTTACACCTAGTACATCCTGTTGAGATTTTTTTTTACACCTATCCCCATTACTAAACTGTAAGTTCTTTGAGGGAGGGTACCATGTTTTATCTCTTTAAGATATGAGTAGGTTCAGGGAAGGAGAGCAGATTAAATCTAGAAAAATAACTGTTTGTTTAGTAAACATCAGTTAGATGTTTTGGTGGTGAAAAGTTAGGACTCTGGGAAAGATCTACAAAGAAGAGGGCGAGACAGAGAACCAAATGACCTCACCGATGAAAATGAGAGCATTGTCCTGAGAGCTGGGGAAAGATGTGGAGACAGAGGGCAAGGAGACCCAGCACGATGAGGAGAGACTGAGGCTGGGACTACACATGAGTAGGGAGAGATTCCCAGGGGAATATAGGGAGAGATTCCCAGGGGTGAAAAATGCTAAAAGATTTTCTTTTTCAAGAAAAGGGATGCCTAAAATTAAACTTTTACTCTTTTTGTGCTACCTAAAATTATGAACAGTGATTACTTCAGAGAAACAAGGCTTCAGATTGTAGGGGTGGAAAAACTGTCCCTTCTTCCCTTCTAGGTTCTTCGGCTGGTCTAGTGATTAAATGAACATGAGATAGATGAACAGGAAGAAAACAAGTTTAATTTTGTTCATATGGGAGTCCCATAAAAATATGAGACTCCCAGCAGTCAAGCAAGGAGGCTCATATACCATCCTGAGCTAAGGGTAAGGGCTGACGCTGGAGTTTCAAAGGGAAGGAAGAGGATTCACAGGAAGACGAGAAGAACAGATGTTTAGTAAACAGATGTTTGCCCTGCCACACAGATTAGTATCTTCTATAAAAATGTCATCTCTGGTAAGAGCTCTCTTCCTGGTAAAGACCCCCTTTCTAAATTCTCTTAGCAGTTCAGGGGGAGGTAAAAAGTTTCTCCTGAATCTATTGGAACTTGATTGCCTTCAACTAAAAATAATCCACATGCCAATTGGAACATTT